AAGTGAATTTAAGCAACTAACGAGGTTATTTCCACGTTTTTCTCAGCATGTAAAAAAACACACTTTTTGGGTGGTCCTAGTATTTTGAACTTTTCACCCTGAAGATTTCATTTAAAGTCAAATCTGACGACTATGACCATGGGTCAGAATTGTCAGGGCTATCGAATGGTGTATGATTCGACCACTTTTACGTCTGCTGCATTTTTGCCCTTCCGGCACCTTACTTGCCCACAAAAAGTCTTACGAACAAGCAGCTCACAAAAGACATGTAGGTGGTCGCCTAATGGAAACCGAAATCGTCATTTTCTTTATTATGAGATGTATTTTTTTCTTCTGTCGTGAATGACGATTCTCAGATGGTTTTTCGTCATATTTAACACTTATTACTGCTACTGTAAAATCAGCAGATGAAGACCTGAATTGAGTTTTTAAGGTGCAGATCTCTAATATAACTAATGGCAATATAAATAAAGAAGCAGTTAGTGTATAGGGTGGTCCACAAGTTACCGGGAAGTCTTTGATTGCGAAAAGCTTTCGACAAGAACAAGACAGAGACCTGCGGTTTTCACCACTGAAAAGAGGAGATGAAAGTGAATCGTCAAGTCTAGAATCGATCATGAAAGAGCAATCCTTGAATCCATCATCAGCTTCAATTAGTAAGTTGGTCTAAGTTTGTATGACGATATACTCTTCATACGGAAAGAGACTCGTTTCAATGGGGACATAGCTCAGTGGTAGAGCGCTCGTTTCGCATACGAGAGTTCGATCCCCTCTGTCTCCATCTTTTTTCTATTCTTTTCACAAATGGCTTTAATTTTTATGCCTTTTCTACCTCCTGTTCTTAATCTCGATAGACTTTTATAAAACTTAACTGTCGATAAGGGAAAGTTCAGTTTAGAAAATGCTCGAAAGAGAAAGCCAAGTCGAACACACTCACCAGTCTGATGCAATCCCTGTCACCTTCATATTCAATGTCATTAGATAATTCATGACTCTTAGAGGACGAAATGTTTTGGTGATTAGAACTAGGGATATGCCGAGTGGCTGTTTCTGGGACTGCTGTGGGAATGCTGTGAAAATTTTGAATATCCTCCCATATCCTACTCTGTGGCATTCGAATCCTAGCCCTACCCACCCTATGGTTTCGGGTGATTTTAGAGCCATGATGGCTTTGCTAGCTATGATATAGTTCATCCAGGTTTGTCAAACAACGCCCTAGTTCTACTTTACCCTACCCTTTGCTTTCGGAGCTATGTACATCTCTAATTAGAACGAAGTTTTTTAACGTAAGGGAACTTAGCAGCAAATTTCTATATTTTCGCCTAACATTTTTTTGTTACAGCTGTGCCGTTTTCTCCAAATAAGTGTGCCAAATAGAACTATATTCATAGTTTATCACAATTGCGTCCAGTATATAACTGTTATATCTGAGGGTTTATATATATGTTATTTTTATATCAAAAAATTAGAAATGGTGGCTAACAATAAAGTGTTAGCTAACATTTTTCTTATCACTGAGTCATGCATCTTAAGCGTTTATAGCGTGGCTAAGTTTATTATCTGCTTCGTCTGTTTCTGTTTTTGTTTTCATTAATAAGTGTTGATAGAAATAGTCTAATAATGGGTTAGGTGCTGCTGCTAATTGCTGGGACTGATTGAGCGGGTTGATTCAATATTGCTGGATGGTGTTTTCTTTCTGCCTACTTTAAATATTTAATTTCTTTCAATATTGAAATGAGAAAACGAGTACCACTGATGAATAATATTCTTGATAAATGTAAAAAATTTGAAAATATACCAAATCCTAATTTTTCTAAACCAATCATGTTATTGTTTTATAAATGGTTCGCATGTTTGCCACTGTAGACATGCCTACTATCTGCTTCTGAGGAAAGGTGAGAAGTTTTAGCATTTTTCTTGTGACATCAAAGTTATTCACGAACTTTAAATCTTTTTAGATATGCTAAAAATAAACCCGTGACAGTAACAAATACAACTGGGTCGCGGCAGATTATCAAACGCCATGGCTGAGAGTTACCTTGAAATTATAAAATTCTGAAGAAGAAAACTCGTTTAAAATTATCAGATGCAATTCTTAATATACATCTTAGTACAACGGCTCGTTTGAAAGCTGGACGTTACGGGTTAACACAGACAGCAGCTCAGCGAAAACCTCGAGTGCTTTTGATGTACTTATGCCAGAGACATGGCAAAGAAGAAAATCTCAATCAAGGGGTAAATACTTTAGAAGAGCTGTTTCTGCAGATAAAACTGTAGGCCAAAAAAGGTATGTATGTTTAACCGTTTGTCATAAATGTTTGATAACCCCCTTTTATTGTAGAGTTCGAAGAAGCCAATTGGATGATTTGATAAACCGTACATCACCTGAATCATTCAATTATCGAATCGAGTAAATATTCACATTTGTTGACAGATAGGCGGACTAGTCAGACTTTACAGCGGACTTTAGAAGATGTTGACTATGTCTAAGTTCTTTTTTATTTAATAGAATTTTTATATGCGTGTCTCTCTCTTTAGCATTGCTGACGAATCACCGGTCGATTCAGGATCAGAAGATTCATGGGGCTATCCGAAACATAAAACTAATATTAATAATGTTTATAAACCAAGTAATATTCATAATAATATATCAATACATAGTACTGATTCAAAAAAAAGTATCATTGCTTTTAACATCGACCATGTATCGGCGTGGATTCTATGTGAATATTAAGGAGAACGAAGTTGATGATCTTCCTATAGTTCAAACGCCGATGATTAAGCAAGCTCTATCAACTTTAAGCGTTAATTTAAATGAAAACGGAAATGCTGTTGAGAGAAGTTCTCGTCAACGTACATTTACAAAGCGATATGATGATTACTTCCCTGATCGTACACCCAGCACTTCAGCGTTATCTCCAGAAAGAAGTGCTTCATCATTAACAATGAATTCATCCGAGAGCTCACTACCACGAAAAACTCGCCAGGTGCTGACAACAAGTAAAAAACGAAAACGTCAAAAAATAACAGAATCGCCTAACAAACTGTCGAAGTCCGAAAATCTGTCAACAGCACGGATTGTGGATCATCACTATCGTTCGCCTACATATTCGATAACAAATGCTGTTTCCAGTGGTAAATCGTACACAGCTCTCAACACCTGTTCATTGGACTCTGCACGTGCTTTATTATACTTACTCTTCCACTTGCAAGCAATTTCGAGGACTTTTTGATCGTGAGACTCGACCCGTATACGCGATTCTACGTAAAACATTTCACAACTTGTTGACAGTGATGGATGAGATAAAGCTCATTTGTATTGGCTTATTACACATAAACGACTTAACGCCACAACATTGACTTGTAATAACAAATATAATATTTTTGGTACTGTCGATGAAAATGTTTTCAGATATGTGAGAGAGATTCAAACATATACGAATCCGAATGAATGTTTATGTAAAGATTGTCCATGACCGAAAAGGATATTCACAAGTACAGAAATTGCTTTAAAGTAAGTTGCAAGATTCAATGATCCTTTATTAAGTACGAATAATTATGAGAAGTTTACATTGAGGAGTCACCAAGAAAGTAAAGTTTGTCATCAACATTTTTCATCCTTCAATAGAAAAAAACCTTGTTTAGCTTTTGAGAAATAGTAGAAATTGTTTCCGAACAATCGATACTGATACCATATATATATGGTACTAAGCTAGAGTATTAAGTCTGACTAAAAGTAGGATGTCTTTCCTGCCTATAGACTCTCTTTATGAAATGAAGCACTAGCAGTCTTCTACATTTTTCTACTATTTACACAACGATCCTTTTCATTATCAGTTTTTAACAAGAAAAATAGCAGATTTCCTGTTTTGGATTTTGAACTCAACGAATCGGTACTTTTGGAAACAAATTTTGGCATTCGATAGAGCTCGTCGAGTTCTATTTGGTACACTCATTCGCAGAAATGCCACAGCTTTAATACAAAATGTTAGGCGAAAGTATAGAAATCTGCTGCTAACTTCCCTTACGTAGTTTTTTATGTGTTTTTGGCAAGAAAAATGAAAAATTAGCGGAAAATAGCATTATAGCTAGCATAAAGCTATCTTTCTGTCAAGTTCAACATCCTGAACAAGAGAAGACTAGACTTGTACGACCTTCGTATCGAAAGACCGGAGAGTAGTCATATCTTCGATTCTCTTTGCTCCACTGATTGGCACGTATATCTATGCCAATTACAATGTTCGAAGTGGAGCCTGGAGATCGCCCACGTTTTCATTGTGAGTTTTTGCCCGTTATAGGTGGTTACTGCGAAGATAGGCATAATTGTTGTGAACTGAATGATATATGGTACTTGCCTTTCTCCTCATCCTTGTTCGAGTAACCGATCAAAGAGCTGCGTCATAGAGGCAGTAAACTGCTTGTTGACAAGCGGAATAGCGCTCAGTTTGGGGCAATGACTATCGAGACTTGCTTCCACTTATGATCGGTTGATTTCCACGAGTGCGTACAACGGTTTACACACATAGATCGTATCTGAGGAAAATATTTTACCATGAAATTAATATTTGAAATCTGCTCGTATTTTCCTCTTTACGAATATTATTTATCAAATATTCTCAGATGAACGATTCCTCGCCTATTGGTTAGAACCAACTTCGCTGATAACAGAAGATGCTGGTTTCTGTTAATGTGAATGGAAAACGATCGATAACGATTAGAGCAAATTTAGTTGGCCATGACAACTGTTTTTACGCATCAAAACAATTCGGTTTTGATCTGATGATTATTTATTTTCTATTCTTTTTCGTCTTCAAATGAATGTATGTTTAGCTCTATTTGCTAAAATTTATCTGAAAGATATTTTGAATTAATTAGTATTTAAAGTCAGTCTTTAGCAAAAATTCTACTTCGAAAGAAAACGACTCGTGTTTTTTCCTTGGATATTAATCTGTTTGAAAGTTTTTTCGCTGTCATCGTTGGCTCTGCTAAGGGAAATTTGCTGCGGACAGCGGAATTCATTTTTGTATTAGGTGAACAGAGTGATGTGATCCCCCTGATTGAACTATATATAGAGGAATTGAAAGTTTTTTCATTTTGTTTTACTTTTGCAGAAGATCCAGCTGCGAAGGGTAGTATTCAACCCATTACTACTACAATTCCCTTATTATCGACAGCCAAATTCAAGCAAATCGAATCGGATTATGCTTTTCATTGATCTAATCAGCAATGATCGTCATTTGAAAAAAGTAAACTCATCGATCTTCACTAACGAACAATCCATTGAAAAGTTACTAAAACCAGCACCTGTATATCGTGAAACAATATTAGTTAGTATAATGATTAGTCATAAGTTTCAATAATTTGTATGTCTATTCTGAAATTCAATTCGTTTGAAAACAAAAAAGCATTTGACGATATTTTTGTTGAAATTAATACAAAAAATTTGTGTTGAAGAAAATCTTAAAGAACTGAAAGAAAAAAACTATTTAATTGTGAAGCGATTATTAAAACGCGGAAACTTTGCAAGGCGAGGATATGCAATATCATTCGCAAAAGACTATGATATCTTCCAGATAAAATATACAAAGGTACAAAAAATTTTCATTAGATAAAAACATATTAGTAGATAGGCTGAATAAACTAAAATATGATCCGATCAAAGCATACATGTACAGTGTAATTGTTGGTCATTGCTTTATTTGAACGTATACTCGTTATCTCTTTTCATCTAGTCCTTAGGATAAAACTCTCTTCATTTCAGGTATTCTGTTTGTCTATACTATGTTATATAAATAACGTGAATCCCATCGATTCACTAAGTCCATTGCCTGTAAGCCGGATGAATGTCGTGTCGAGAATATTATTCATTCTGGTGTAACTCGATCTTGTTACTACAGTATTTATGCTTATTTTTTACGATGAGTGCATCCATATTCTCCATCGTAGTTTACAGAAGTAGTTGCTATAGCTTTGCGCCGGTCAGAAAAGTTTATACGCGTGAGTACATGTTTCGAAGGCAAGCATGTAATAGAAGTCAAGCCTGTTAATTCACTGTCGGTGGAAATTATTTAAAAGTTGCTCCTGTCTTGTAGGAGGGGAGCGAAGAACAACGAAACTGCGAATAAATGTGACTTTCCAGGAGAAAAATGCATAAGAATATTTAGAATAGTGAATGTATGAGATCAACGAGTCGCACGTGTATAAGTTTTTATTGAAGACAAAAAACATGAATTAAACCAGCTTAAATATTAGATCACACACAAAAGATAAAAGGAAGATGAAGATCTCTTGTTTTTCTTTTTTAAAAACACGAGGTTGACACATTTGACGACACAAGGCCGACAACGTGAGATGAATAGACAACAATAAAGATGACTAATGAAAGAAGGAACAGAAAAGGAGTGTGATGAATCACTATGTGGACTAATAGAAAAGAAGACTGTTCATAATAGTGTCACAGTTATCAATAACAGCATGTTGGAGCTAACAAAGTCTATCAAATCAGCATGAGTTCACAAGTTATATGACTCTTAAAAGTTTGAATGCGTCATAGCGTTGTTTAGTCAATTTGTTTAGTTCATCGAGTCTCTGTAATTCTTTTGTTTGTTCTTGATTTGGTTTTATCTGTAATACAGACTTTAGAAATGGACGTAATATTACCAAATCTCTCAGTCTTTTTACTCTTGATAACGGGACGTAAGTGAGGGCAACATTTGGCCTCGTTCCTGGTACTAAATCAATCACAATTTTTGGGATTGTTTGTCCCTTGCTTTTATGAGTTGTGAGAGAGTAAGCAGGAACGAATGGAAGCTGTTGCCTAGTTACTTTAATTTTTGTTTTATTGCCAGCCTTCTTTACTTGTGAAGGTGATAATAAGTCTTTCACATCGACTTTAAATGTTTTTTTAACGGTTGGTATAGGAACTAATTTCTCAGGTAATGGTTCAAGAGCTGATTTTATTTTCGATTTTTGGATTTCAATCGGAGCATATACTGGATATTTCAGAGTGACGGTATTTGGAGTAAATCGCTTCCGTTGTGCTAGGCCTACTGATGATGATGATTGCTTTTCGTTGATTGTTTTGTCTTCATCATCTGTTGGTTCTGTATAAACAAGTGATGTTCCAGATGATCCATTTGATGAACCGAGCTCTGTTGCTATGTTATCAGTCAATAACACCGGCATTCCTGGATGAATGAAACTAATCAAAGTATTATTTTTTGCTTCTTAATAAAGGTTGGTTCTTAATTCGTACCTTTGACTAATGGTAAAATACCAGGAAGACCATCGGTTTTGTTGTCGGGCAACACTTGTACGAATTTGTGCAAGGTGCGGTTGTCGATTAAATTGGATTTAATTGCATCAACACTAGGGCATATAACTACGGCTTCGTTGGTTTCTAATGGTCGGGAAGCTACAGCAAGTTATTTAGTAGCGTTCGTAACTCGTTGCGGTAAACTAACATTGATGCTTGTTTCCAGTCGATCGTGTTTAATGATTCAACTTCACCGCCACCAACGACACGAGTTTGTAGTAATTCATAATCTGCATCTGTGCATTCGCCTCGACGTAGTCGTCCGAGCAGAGCGTGAAATGTTTCATCTTCGGTTCGCATTTGCTGAGTTAATTCTACACACGTATTGATTTGGAGCCATAACGATCGGCCAACTTCGCACTGAATTTCTTTCTCGGGAACACCCTTCTTCAACTTGTTAGGTTAATTACCAGTTGTATCGCCAGTGTCGTCGAAAATACTCCTGTATAGCGGTCTGTCCATTACGGGTGGATATTGAATAAAATCACTGAAGAATATGACGTTAATGCCGCCGAAAGGAAGATCCTTTCTGTTCTTTGCAATACATAAAATCTCGTGCAAACGCAACAGCAGATGGAGGCCGACCATTGACATTTCATCAATAAAAATGTATTTGACGTGTAACCAGTTTCTTTCGATAGCACTGTTTCCAGCTTGAACGGTTTGTTTTATTTTATTTAATAACCTGATGGGTGTTAAAAACGAATGCGTTGTGACACCGTCGATTTCGGACGCAGCAACAGCAGTTGGAGCTAATTTTCGAAGCATACGGCTCCGATGCGTGACTTTGAAATACTTGGAACTGGCTTTAATCACCTGTGATTTTCCTGTGCCACCTGGTCCCAATACACACATCAGCAGCTGCTCTTGTTCATCGTCTGAAACATGTCAAAAAGAGATGTAAGAAGAAAGACATAAACAGCGCATAAAGTAATCTATACCTTTCCTAAGATGGCTTCTAGTCTCCAAATGTTCAGTTATAATCATGAAAGAACGCATTTGCTCTTCGTTTAACGTAAACTCTTGCGCGGTTTTGGGATGGTTGGTTCTCTCTGACTTGCTAACGTATTGTAGCAATGTAAAACTAATTTTCGCGATTTTTCGATTATGAATTACTACAAACTCGTGTCGTTGGTGACGGTGCAGTTGAATCATTAAACACGATCGACTGAAAACAAGCACCAATGTTAGTTTTCCGCAACGAGTTATGAACGCTGCTACATAACCTTGCTGTAGCTTCCCGACCATTAGAAACCAACGAAGCCGTAGTTATATGCCCTAGTGTTGATACAATTAAATCCAATTTAATCGACAATCGCACTGACTCGATTGTCATAAATTATCCCAATGCTATTATATGTTGTTGCAATAAGGGTGATTTGGTGGAAGTGAAATTAAATAGACTGCAAGAGACTTATCAAGAGATCTCAATGCTTTCTCATAATCATCTTGATTAATGTAAACTTCTCTGATGTTGTTGTATGTTGTGCAATCTCAGGGTGATTAGGTGGAAGTGAAATAAAATAGATTTCATAACATTTTTCATAAGATTTCAATACTTTCTTATAATTCCCTTGGTTGCATTTCGTTGACACAGAGAAATGCAGACAATCAATCCCTAATATAAAAGCACTGAGTGATTTCAGTGTCAAAGATGAACTTGTATTTTCTATGGGCAGCGTGAACAAAACGTTTTTGTGTGAATGTAACTTTCATGGCAGTTTAACGCGCGTTCATATTCTGCGAAATTCTTTTGTGTCATCGTCAAACCACGAAATGAAAGTCCTTTGTATGCACGATGCGCCACACTGGATAGACTAAATAATACTGGAGCATAGAGGCAGTTTGTTTTGTCTTGATCTTGAGCTAAATATTCACAGAAAGATAACTCAAGTGTATACAGACGTAAAAGATATTCAATCTCTCCATTCACGACATAACCTTCGAGCAGTTTACATAAATTTGCTTTTTGACTTTTGCCCAGGAAGCATTCTTTAACGAGAGACTGAAGATCTGTAGACCATTTTTCGGTTTTTTTCCTACGAGGATCGTTTCCAAAGATGCTTCTTATCCAATCGAACAGAGATAAATAAATTTTGCGGTCACTGCCGAAAACTTCATGAAGAAGTTCTATTTTGATTTGATAATCAGTAGGATGAAATTGAAGCCATTGTGATTCGTTAATATTCACTTCAAGTGGATTTGTAGTATTCTCATCACTATAAAACCGTTTAGTCCTTTCGGTAGATTGATGAAAAAGATCGCGAATCTGATCTGTAGCTGCGTCTTCATAGGTAGTCAAACCATATTCATTCTTTCGATCTCGAGAAACACCGTAATCATCCAAAAGTAGTTGAACAATATCCCCATGTCCGTAATAAGACGCCACATGGAGAGCCGTACTTTCATTTGGTTCAGTACGATTAATCTCCGTTTCAGGTGGAGAAGTTTCGATCAATACTCGAACCAATTCGATGTCACCGTCTCGACATGCGTTACAGATATCACTCGTCATTCTTTGCTTTTTATCTATAAACAAAAATGTTCTTATTATTGACGTTGACTTATCCTCTATGAACAAACGCTGATTTCTTCTAATATGATTTGCTCATTCTTCATTCTTTTAGTATGGTATGAATATGGTATGAAGCGACTCTCATGTGAAGAAAAAAATAAAAGACGATTTTTTTTTATTTTGTTTAACTTTGAGTTACACATTAAACAAGAAGAACAGTTGTCAGGTGATCCGGGCGAGAAAGAGAATTCCATTAGGCGTATGAAGTGGAAGAAACCGCAAATGGTGACGAATGAAAAAACAATTTTTTTTTAATGAAAATTTTAAGTTTTCATTTATTATTCCGAATTAAAATGAAACCATTCACTATTGCCAATATTGTTTCGATAAGAAAATTGATATATGTATTGGTCGAAGCGAATTAATAGATCCAAGCTTTTCAAGAAAACGTTCCTCAAAAAATGTCAATGAATAATTGATTTAATCAAAAGCTAACTGCATTTCGTCATTTATTGTTGATGCATTACTTCCCCTTTTAAAGGATAAATTTTAAAGGGCTTCAGGTACTGCCGAAACTAGTCCAGGGCCAAGATCACATTTTAGTTTTATCACTTTTTACTATTTATTATGTTATTTTAACACTGTACCATCAATAACTTTTTTATATAAAATCATCACAATACATGCAGAAATATACACATTTACAGTGAAAGGCATTTATTTAAATTAGGCTTTAGTGCAGAAGCGTCTAGACAATTCGACGCTCATATCAATTAAAGATAAACAAATCTTTACGTCGTCGCTTTATTTTTCAAAAAGTAAACATAGCAAAATAATCGAATATTTGTACAGATTTATGAACAACTCTACCTGCTCTGCAATCTGGACAGATCAGAAAACATTTCCAGTGGGAAAAATGTTTCGGCCTAGGAACCCGGTTTCGGAGAAAACTCGATCTCCCGAGGTCTAGTAGCCGTCCCGGTGGTCATATTCAAAATCAGCACGATCGATAACCTATAACCCACTATGTTTCGATAAAAAAAGTAATTTGACGATTCCTTCGTAAGAATGCATTCATCTATAACAAATATGCAGAAGGCTCTCGTATTCTAAAATACTTATCGCACCAAAGATAAGGTTTCTTAGTTATATTTGAAAGCCTTTTGAAAATATTTAATAGTACGAATAGAAGAGAATAATATAAGTACACAGGCACAAGACCGGACTTGACATACAACTCAAAATGTAAATATTGAATCAAATTTTATCTCTTCTTTACAAAATTAAGTATGAAGCAGCATGCTGATTCAGAGGTGATCTTTCTGCTCTTTCAATTGCTTTTTGAAGGATGGGCTTATCGCAAAACGAAAATGCATGCTAAGAATATTGTTTTGCATTTTTGAGTCGCAGTTCGTGCGAGAAAGTTGTGTCGCAAGAATTTCCGTTGAATGTTATATGTTGCCGTTGTCAAGATCAACTATGAGAACTGGCTAACAGAAAAGGATGTGTTTCTATATTTCATCAAAATATGCATCGATACCAACGTGTATACCTCCTGTTGGCAAAATACAGGCAAAAAAATCTTAATCCCACAAAGGGCGTCTTCAATAATCCAACGTATTTTATTCGAGTCACATTTCTCTTCTACGTGTTTCATCTGTCGACATAGGATTACTGCTAAATTTTCGTCTGATTTAGCTTCGGTTTACTCTACATACCTGAGGCTGTATCTCATATGTCCTTTTTTTGTCGCAGAGGACATTTTCCAAGAAGTTTCGAGCTCCGCAGGTTAAAATAGAATTTTTATAAAAAGGGAATGAGTTTAAGCAAAATCGAGAATATAGATGGATAGAGAACACATAACAGTACCGAGTTCTTCAGAATCATTCATATGTAACATTGATCGCGTGACTTTTACCGCCCAGGTGCATGCAAGTATTGTCAAAAACTATACCAGATTAGTAGACACGGCATTTAACAATATACAGGGTGGTCCAAAAGTTACTGGGCAGTCTTTGCTTGCGAATAATTTTCGACAGGAAACAGCTAGAGACCTGCGGTTTTCAACATTGAACAGAGGAGATGAAGGCTCATCGAATCGTATATCACACATATTTTTGATAACTATTATGAGATATTTTCTATCGAGTGTCGCTAAAAGCATGCACTGTGTGCGATCGCCACAGTGAATCTATAATTTTTAGGGATACGTTAGAACCGCTAATCGATGATCTAGATAACTACGCATAGCTCGACATCTTTAGCT